CTTCTCTCTCCATCTACCAGGACACACCTGGATGTTTCAGAGCTCCTGACCAGTCCTGCTTGAGAGCACATCTGGACATGGTGACAATTACCCTAAGTCTCTACATAGTACACAGTGATCACCTGGTATTCAGCCTTGCCTACAGGTAGCCCTTAATGAAAAGAAATAAAGCCACATAATTCAGGAATGATCTCATAAAAAAGGGCATCCTTCTCTTACGTGAATTCAGTACCTCAATTTAGGTGACCCTACAAAAATTTTGGTAGACTTCTTATTGGCCTACGAATCTGCAGACCACTACGCTATCACTCTTAAATTTCTCAGAGAATTGCTAGTTCCACACTGCTTCTTCTTCATCATTTTTCCATTTGTCATTACATCTTTTGCTATTTCATAATGCCACCATGTTTCTAGCACCCAATTCCCTTCAGTAATATTTGTCTTAATGCACAATCTTAATTTACCATTACATGTGTATGTAGTCAATTGATTTACTTTCTCTCAAATCTCTAATGAAAATAAAAAATGACATTAGAGTTAATCCTAAACCCTGAAGTACCGCACTGGACAACTTGCCCTGTTTAGATTTATCAAATTAAGTTCATCGTTATTCTACTCAAGTATCAAACCCAAACTTATATGGAATTATTCCACAACCAGATCTACTTGAGTAGAATCTACATTTCTATGGAGTTCTGAAAACCAACTACCTACATATAAACGCATTCACTGTTGTAACATTCAGGTTATTTATACCACTCTCAGAATAACTATTCCATAGGAATTGATTTGCATGGAGAGATGTAATGTCAGGCAAACTGTAACGCAGCTGCAGCCAAACCCTCTTTACTTCATTCAGTTACTGCTAAAAGGGTGGCAAACAGATCCCCTGTAATGTGATGCTGAAAGGGTCTCATGGTTGCAAACTTTCTTCACCCGTACTTGAGATTATCACTGCTCCGGCCCTGAAGAATTAAGCTTATTTTCCATGTGGTCCCACTAAATATGCAAAAGTTATTTTCCAGAGATAGCTAGACGTGGGCAGTAACCACTAGCTAACCATGAGCAAATTGAGCTCAGAACCCTTGAATAAGAAAGCAAAAATAGCACAGTGAAATTAAACAAAGACGCACAAACAGATCTAAATTCGGAAGAGAAGAAAGTACAATCCTTAGGAGCTCTGTAAAAGCTATTCAAGTATCCTATCATCAAGGTCCAATACGCACTATTAAGAGAAGCAAGAAAGCAGTAAGGAATTGATGTGGCCAAATCAGAGTTTAGTGCGTGCAGATTGAAATCCTGCTCCTAAAATGTCTTCTAAAAATAGGGCAAGCCTTAGTGACAAGAATGTTAAGAGATCAACAAAGCAATCACAGCTATCTCCAACCATGATCTAGCACAACCTTCAGTGTCAGTTGGTCAGGAATAAGCTTAGAAAGAAGGTCTTGCAAAAATTTCTGATTCTCATTAATAAATTCCTTTTCTTCTGAAAGTTTCCCATCTAAATAATTACACATTGAAATATTCCTGTATACATGGCAAGTGTTAGTCACAAAATTTTGGTCACTTCTACAATATTTGGAACTTGACATTACTGGGGGGCAGATTTTTAACTATAAACTGAAAAGTGGAATTCTAAAACTTCATGGCTTCTCTGACTCATTTCTCATAACAGACTGAGGAAAAAAAATCCCGAATAGTTACTTCTTTCTTGCATTGGAAAACATCAGTGTGATTTGGAGAGGAAAAAGATGATTTAGTGTTTTGGGGAGGGGGCAGAGAAGACAGATCACACAAGCCAGTGTCAAGCAAGGATCAGTGAGCTGCCTAAGGCATGCATGCAGAATGAATTACGAATTGGGGAACATCCAAACACACCTTCCTCTCATGAAAACTGATCTCAGCCCCAAGGGACGGAGAGGGCACTTACAGTAACATACAGCGTTTAGAGCAGTTCGGATTGCTTAGACGGCCCAGTGCCGAGCTCTGGTGAAGTGTATCACCGGCAAAATGCCCTCCAATATCCAGAAAAGACACAAAACCAAGAATTGTTTGAACTATGGATTGCTGCCACAGGACTCCAGTCATGCAGAGCTAATAGATCAGCTGCTGCTACCTTGCTTATCCGAACGCTCAGCTGAGGTTACACTTTCTCACTATTTTCTTTTTTTAAAGATAGTTATCTTATCATAGGAGCCTAGGATTGTCACGCAACATTTACAAAAGTAAAAATGACATGGGCTGGGGAGAAATGGTTCCAGCTACATCTAGGATAATCAGATACCTTTTTCCAAATCAAAGCATCATTGTTTTCTTTAACACGTCCTACATCTAGGCAACCCACAATTTCCTTAAGCTCTCTGTCGCCCAGGAACAGTTTATTGTAAATAATTTATTGAGATCCTGATTATTGACAACCTCCACTGACCGTAATTTCTTCTCTCTTAAAGATTTGTCAGTAAGTGGTCTGATTTCTTTTTACTAAAATCTATATTAACAATGCAAAGTGGTTTGTGGTTGTTTGGTTGGGGTTTTTTGTTATATATTCTTTCTACAAAATAAAGCTAGTGTCTCTGAGGGACATTTTAAAAACAAACAATGAGATTTAAAGGACAGTAACAGCAAAGATCTTTCAGTATGTTAATTTGGCAGTTTCTACTTACCTGTATTCATAGCCTGCTGTGATACATATCAGTGAAAGTAAAGTTGCAAATGGCTTTTGGAGCAAGAAATTCAGACCCCAAGAAAAAATGAGAAAGTCAGAAGTACACAGCCAGAGGTTTTTCTCCCACAGCAAGACATATCACAGCATGACATTTCTAGGATAAGGATAACTTGGAGAGGCAGTTATTATTGAGCTGCTGAAGAATGGTGCCAATCTTAACATGAAAACGGCAAACAGCACTGCGATGGCAGACTTGGGATTTTTCCCCATATGGGAGAGCCCTCTGAAATGGATTCTTGACAAAGGCATTAAATAACCATCACTGAACGCAGATTATCAGCTCGACATTATTTTAGTACAAGGCTACTTCTCATTTAATATTCAGTAAAACACTTCCACTATGCAGGGGGTAATTTTTAAGGCATAAAAATGGCAGTAAGATCTCCTTTCCTACCAGCCTTCATAAGACAGCAAAATGAAATTCATAAACAGAACCTGGCAAAAGTCTTGGAGGGGAGGGACAATAATAATTTGGTTTTCCTGGACCTTTTGTATTGACTGTCCAAATAACCATGATATATTCACTTTGTTCTCAGAAAGGAAGGCTGATTGCCTTCAGTAAGCAGAGCCAGACCTTTCTGACGTGTTGAATTAACCCGTTTGATAATGCTTCTTTTTATCTGGTTCTGTCACAGATCCTAATGGTAAACAGAAGGAGAACAGAAAAGCTTCACACATTATTACACTCTGCAATCGGAGCTTTTTGACTTACCTATTTTCTTATTTTCCTTAATCTGATTTTCTTGAAATCAAGCTGCTCCTTTTTCTTTATTTGTGACCATTTGTCAAATGTCTCTTGCAGTGCAAAAGTCATTAGGCAAGAATCTTAACTGTAAAAAAACCGTTTAATAAAATTCTAATGCTTAAGACCACAAATTAGGCAGCTGGGTTGAAAAACTGCAATATAAAAGAGAGGTCAGATGCAGCTTTGTATAACCTGAAGAGAAGTGGGAAACCAGCACTAAGAGAGCACACAGTATGGAACACTTACAAATACACACACACATATATTTCCTAGTTGTCAGTTTTCCCACCTGCTTCTTTCAAGATGAGTGTCAGTTAGAAGTATATCTCCCCATCAGCCTCCAGTTAAGCTACTGGGAGAAGAGTCTGCGCCTAAGACATTTCTGAACTTTATCTAACATCATTTTTTCCTGATATACTACTATAGGTCTCATACTTGATTTCCAAGCCCCATTGTGCTTTATCCCCTCAGGCAGTGCAGTCTTACTCATCATAAATACAGATTTCTCTTTGAACTATGAAGGCAAAAAAGGTTTTCCACATTTTTAGGTGATATATCTTTGTTAACCAAACCTAATAAACCCCTTTTAGTTATTTACCTAACAGCCATTTAAACACATGGCAAAGACCTTGCAAATTAACTCTTGAAGTAAAGTGGCTTTTTTCCCCTGACTCGTACACCTGACACCTAAACTATGGACACAAGACATCTTTACATAGGTACACACTTGGTGCAGTGTTATCTGCATGACATAAGAAGAGGATGCAAGTTCTTCTTTTGTAGTTTTACTGTATGATTACAGAGAACAAGGACTGGGGGGGAAAAAAAGTGGTAGAAAACAAAATACCAGAAGATTAAATTTATTCCTCTTAATCCAAAGAACACAATCAGATATGTCTCATATATCCAAAGATCAAAGTTTGGGAACTTGAGAGGAAATACAACTAACAAAAAAAGGTATGGAACGATGAAGTTATTTACATATCTCAGGTACATTTAATCATACAAACCAGAACAAAACGTCTCAAGTGACTGGTACTAATAGAAAAGCAAAAGTGAAAATACAAGTCTGTAGTAAGCATCAGTCTAAGTAATGATAGCAAAACCCCCTTTTATTTTATATAGTCCTACAGAAAGCAATTGAGGTGGATTTATATTACAATCTCTCAATAAAGTAATATTGCTAAATTTGCATAACCCTAAAGCAATACATTTTCATTAACTTATGAATCTATAGAAAACAAAGTAATGACTTACTTTTATAAAAATTGTGTGGTAAATCCATATAAACTCTGTGTCACATCTTCATTGTAATTGCACCTACAGAACATTTCTTGAAGAGCTAAAAAAAAAAAAAAATTTCAACTGTATTAGGAATTGTTCAGGATGGGTTATTGTCCAGCTGCATAACTAACACTGTCTAGTCATCTGCATGTAACAAGTTTTTAGTTTTATAGTTTAAGTTTTAGAAAATACTTACTGTAATTTGATTTTGTCATAACAGGTTTTCTATCTGACGTGGATTTGGTAATGGTTTCACTACTCCAAGATCAATCTAATATTAAATTTTCTTCTTCGGACACTCTGGAAAGGGATCACCGAGACCTCATGAAGACACAGGGGGATTCAGTATCCCCAGTTCAGCAAATTGTGAGTAAAATGGCCCAGTTCTGTTCTCTTTCTTCAGAGGCACAAGTTCAGATACAATATTCAGCAAATGCTGTACTAAACCTCAGCATACTTAACTGATAACAAAGTAAACATTGAAAATTTTATTCTTGAAGAGTAGAAACCTGAGTTACTCTTCTGAGCTAATCTTAAGCTCCATGCTAAATTTCCTATTTGATTGCTTAAAAATCCTACTACTTTAAAAACAAAACAGGCAATCCATCTAGCTACTAAGCCAGTAAAAATGCCACTTTTAAAGTAATTCTCATTCTGTTTCTAAAACAAATTAATAAAAAAGCAGACAGAGAGAGAGACATCATAATCTTTTTGTCTACTCCCTGCCAGTAGAGGATACCTTCAAGCACTTCAGAATTCCTTGGGACTTTTTCGGAATAAAACGATCTCTCTCTTGTTGCCTGAATATTCATCATGTTTACCTTTCATAACAAAAGTACAACTGAGAATAGTGTTTTTCATCAAACAACAGCAAAATAACCATTGTCATAGTTTTATTGTGAAAGTTTCAGGTGGAGAATTAACAGCATTGCCATTCATACAGCTTTATATAACTAAATACAGTGCTCTTTTGAAATTCTTATTTAACAAAAGATATCATAAAGACATGTATTAGGACTATAGAGGAGAGCAAGGAAGTAAGAATGAAGAAGTTACAAACTGAGTAAGTTCGTGTTCATGTGAGAAGCCAAAAGTGTCATGAGGTCAGATCTGCTTTCTGCAGGAATCCATGACAGAGCAAAACGTTAATAGCTTTGACACACAGATCCATGTGCAAATGAAGGAAGAAGCTGTGCCACGTGTGCCACGTTCCACTCTGCAGAAAGCACTGGCTTTTATGCTGACTTCCCTTTGGGACTTCTTGAAATCTGTTTCTTCCATGAAGGCATATATTCTACCTGTTCTTCTAAAATACTGTAAAACCAACTTGGATTTGGAGGGGGAAGGATGAAAGGGACCACTTGATAATCTGGTCTGATATTTTGTGTAACACAGAACATTACATTTTCCCCTTCACTGAACACAATAACCTGCTCTTGACTTCAGCATGTCTTCTCAAAAGGCATCCAAGTTGTTACTCATCCTTGATGTCAGGGAAAATATGCGTAATTTCTAAGCTGAGTGCGTTCATCTTCAGGATCCAGACACTAGTTCTTGTTAAGCCTTTCTCTTCTAGATTAAAGAGCACTTTAGTAGCTGTTATTTTCTTTTTGCTAAAGTGCAAAAGGGAAGGGAGGAGATGAGACAGGAAGAAGGTTAAAATGTCTGCCTAGAGCCTACCTGTCTCACAGAATGAGTGTGGCTATAGTAATGAAAGGAAGTGATGTAACTAGCAACATATCTGGCAGCTTGTAACACCATTAGAGAATGAGATCAAGCTTATTTGACTAAACTTGTATATGACAAGACTTGCACTTATCATATTCCTGTCATTTAATCTTTCATCACTTGATCATACATCATCTTTTCCCTGAAATTGTCAGACCAACTAAGTCAATAGCTACCTAAGACGTCCTGTTTTTCCAAAGTAATTCAGTCTTCTCAATGCTTTTATTAATTTACTTTTGAACAGTTTTGGATACCAAGTAACCAGAAAACCCTTTAGATCTTTTATGGCTTCTCTGCATGAAGGTGACTAGGACTAGTAACTTTATACTTCCCATCAATAATATATTTTTAATGTACTTTTTTTGTAAATAATGAAAATAACAAAATATTTGCTCATACTAATCCTAAATAAATGCCAATAATTCATTGCAGGATAATCCCAGTTATAACTGCCAACCATATGAGTCAGACGGCAGGACAGAAAGGAACAGTTCAGAGTCTTCCCACAGCCCCAGCCCTGCTTCTCCAGCCCAGGATCAAATTCATGGGAGATACCCTACAAGCCAAGAAATTCACTGTGGCAAGAACAAATTTAAAGTGTCTTTCAGTACTGAAAAATTCAGACGGTACAGTTACGAGGAGAGTACTATAGGAAATTATGACAGGTTTCTCAAGAGCAACAGAAACCCCTTTCATCCTTACAAGAGGCAGATCAGCGAAGATGTCTTCCACGAAGCACATCAAGCCCTCCCACCAGAGGGTTCACCCTTCAAAAGTGCTAGAAGCATCGATGGTTTTGAGGGTCTACCAGCATCTACAGGTCCTGACGAGTCAGAGTCGTTTCCTACACACATTCCAAACATCTCCACAGAACAACCATGGTGTAACAGCCTCCAATACAGCACCACAGGTCAAGATCACGGTTCGCAAGTCATGGTCAGTATTTTTTCTATTTTTTTTTCCTGTTTTCAATGGCAAAAATATACTTTTGGAATTATTTTCTTATTGCTTAATGTGACTAGATGGACATTTAGTCTTTTGTCAAGTTGCAGGCTAGAGCTCAGAATAGACATCCATATATATTTGTCAAAGATTTCTATTTCATGGCCTTTCCC